ATCAGCATACATCTGTGACGTTGGAGTTCTTCGAAACTGTTGTTAGATATGAAAAGTTTTTCACAGTTGAACCTCAGCACATTCCATGTGTACTAATGGCTTTCTTAGATCATAGAGGTCTGCGGCATTCCAGTGCAAAAGTTCGGAGCAGGACGGCTTACCTGTTTTCTAGATTTGTCAAATCTCTCAATAAGCAAATGAATCCTTTCATTGAGGATATTTTGAATAGAATACAAGATTTATTAGAGCTTTCTCTGCCTGAGAATGGCCACCAGTCCTTACTGAGCAGTGATATACACATCTAGATGTGTATAAGAGACAGGACGAGGGGCGCGCAGTCCCGGCCAGCTCCGTCTCTGGCGTTGGCGCTGCGGCCGTGGCGAGGACTGCGGTGACAAGGACGAGGGCCGCTGTCCCTGCTCTCTGCGTGCCGCTCCGCTGGCTGACCATCTGGAGTGCAGGCTGGGAGGCCAGATGGAGTGATAAGGAAGATGTTTACGAATTCCCCGGTGGGATCAGAGGGCACGCCTATTATAACCAGAAGACTCCAAGTATAGCAGCAAGGACGGATGAACAGGCTCTATTAGGGCTAAATCCAAATGCTGATTCAGACTTTAGATAAAAGGCCCTGGCCTATTTTGAGAAGTTAAACACATCTAGATGTGTATAAGAGACAGGCTGAAGCTCTAGCCCAGAGGACGTATAGTGATGATCATGTAAAGTTTTTCTGCTTTCAAGTACTGGAACATCAAGTTAAATAGAAATATTCAGAACTAAGCACTGTTCAACAGCAACTAATTAGGGAGACGCTGGTATCACGGCTGCAAGCTCAGAAGCTGAATCCCCAACCAGAGAAGCCTTCATACGAAATAAAGCCGCCCAAGTCTTCGCCTTGCTTTTTGTTAACAGAATATCTCACTAAGTGGCCCAAGTTTTTTTTTTTTACATTCTCTCAGTAGTGGATCTAAATCCAAGGGGAGTAGATCTGTACCTGCGAATCCTCATGGCTATTGATTCAGAGTTGTTGGATCGTGATGTGGTGCATGCATACATCAGAGGAGGCTCGTAGGAATACTCTCATAAAAGATACTATGAGGGAACAGTGCATTCCAAATCTGGTGGAATCATGGTACCAAATATTACAAAATTATCAGTGTACTAATTCTGAAGTGACCTATCAGTGCCTTGAAGTAGTGGGGGCTTATGTCTCTTGGATAGACTCATCCCTTACAGCCAATGATAGGTTTATAAATATGCGGCTAGGTCAGATGTCAATAGAAGTTCTATGGGAAGAAGCATGTGACTGTTTATTTGAAGTTGTAAATAAAGGAATGGACCCTACTGATAAAATGAAACTAGTAGAATCTTTGTATCAAGTATTACAGTCCGCTGGGTTTTTCAGCATTGACCAGGAAGATGTTGACTTCCTGGCCAGATTTTCTAAGCTGGTAAATGAAATGGGACAGTCATTGATAGTTAGTTGGAGTAAATTAGTTAAGAATGGGGATATTAAGAATACTCAAGAGGCACTACAAGCTATTGAAACAAAAGTGGCACTGATGTTGCAGCTACTAATTCATGAGGATGATGATATTTCTTCTAATATTATTGGATTTTGTTATGATTATCTTCATATTTTGAAACAGCTTACAGTGCTCTCGGATCAGCAAAAAGCTAATGTAGAGGCAATCATGTTGGCCGTTATGAAAAAAGTTGACTTACGGTGAAGAATATAACTTCGAAAATGAGGGTGAAGATGAAGCCATGTTTGTAGAATATAGAAAACAACTGAAGTTACTGTTGGACAGGCTTGCTCAAGTTTCACCAGTTACTGCTGGCCTCTGTTCACAGAGTTTTTAGTTCTACACTGCAGAATTGGCAGACTACACGGTTTATGGAAGTTGAAGTAGCAATAAGATTGCTGTATATGTTGGCAGAAGCTCTTCCAGTATCTCATGGTGCTCACTTCTCAGGTGATGTTTCAAAAGCTAGTGGTTTGCAGGATATGATGTGAACTCTGGTAACATCAGGAATCAGTTCCTATCAGCATACATCTGTGACTTTGGAGTTCTTCGAAACTGTTAGATATGAAAGTTTTTCACAGTTGAACCTCAGCACATTCCATGTGTACTAATGGCTTTCTTAGATCACAGAGGTCTGCGGCATTCCAGTGCAAAAGTTCGGAGCAGGACGGCTTACCTGTTTTCTAGATTTGTCAGATCTCTCAATAAGCAAATGAATCCTTTCATTGAGGATATTTTGAATAGAATACAAGATTTATTAGAGCTTTCTCTGCCTGAGAATGG